AAAAACCCCTAAAGGGAACCATTAAATAAAACAAAGACAAAAAAAAAAAAACTCAAATGGAAGAGGTTTGCTCTCCTTTTTCAAAATTGATACTATATTTGCTTCAGTTCTTTTTATTTCAAGACATTTTTAATGCCCTTAAATTCAGCATCAAATTAAAGTCAATATTGAGCCTTTTTTTGATACTAGCCAAATAAAACCAACGGGGGGTCAGGGTAGAGGGAGACTGTAGCATTAAGATGAGACTACCAGGGTGACCACAGAACACATTCAGAAGACTCCAAGGTGTCCCCAAAGAAATGCAAAATCACATTATGGCCAAGAGCTGTTGCTTTCCCTGCATTTCCTCTACCTCTTATTCCAACTTCTATTAAGTCCAGTTATTAAATCATATTGATTCCCAGTCTATGAAAAACATGGACAATATTACATAGCAGGCACTCAAAAAATATCTGATGAATTATAAGTAAATCCACCGGTTTTTAAGGTACTAACTATGCTTAAATGCAAAACAATGCCATTTCACTTAGTTTTCTTAACCTCCTGTTCATGTATTTGTTACCTCACTTAACTCAATGAAAAAATTATTTCTTTTGGAAGATGTATTAAAGTTGTTCATCTCACCAAATAACAGATAGTGCAGTATTATATATATAGTAACTGGATAACCAGTACCTTAAGAAGCCTAAATAGTTTAAAGTCACTCCTATGGAGCAGAATATACAACTTAGACAAATACTGTTCTTGTAAAATATAATTGGAATCGTATAAATAACAATGTGTCCTTAAAAAAAAGAAAATAAACAAGCAAAGCAAAATGAATAATAAAAATAATCATATTTATATAGTTTCAGATTTTATTTTCATAATTATCTTATCATTGAAGCAATAATCTGCATTTCCATAACAACACATTTAATATCCTATTCATCAAAGAGCTGGAAAAAAATAGGAATAAAGCACAAATACTCTGCATATATACAAATAAATTCAATATATTAAATATATTTTGCAGGCTGGCTGCACTTACACTATAACAGAACATTGAATATTAGATTCTGAGCATGTTCATGAAAAATTCCA